TCAATAACTAAGGATAATTGGTATCAAAGGGAGAGGAGTACATGGAGGTTAAGTGAATGCCTAGGTAGGGAATCAGAGCAGAGTACCAATTAAAATGAGCATTCATTTTTAATTTTGATGCTCTATCTAGAAGGTTAATAGGGATAGGACTAGACTTAAAAAGTAAAAAGGAAGCACATTTCTCCAATAAAACAGATTTAAAAGGGAGGTGACTAATTGGAGTAAACAAAAGCAGGATATTATTAGCATAGACTCATTTAAATTCTGCGTCTTCCTTCCAATAACCTTTAATGTTGACATCTTGTTGGATTGCTAAGATCAAGGGATTCAATGCCAGAGAAATGATTAATGATGACAGGAAACACCCTTGGTGGGTGCTTCTGTGAAGATCACACCCAATGTAACCCAGGACTTTGGTATAAGTTTTTTATGAGTTCTGTATAAAGCCACAAAAGATTTAAGAAACACACTAAAGACCAATGATTTTAAAGGGCATTACATGCAAGACCATAAAACAAAATCCCTTCCGAAGGTTAAGGCTAAGATGCAACAGGCAATTGTTTTATATGCTTGCATCCTGAATGATATTGACTGCTAATGTAATGTGTTTAAATTGGTGATAGATGGAGATGATAGTGGCCACTTTTTAATGGACGAATATGGGCATAATCATTGACGCAGAATGATCTGTCCTAACCTTTGCAAACACAATTGTTTAAAAATGCAAATTCACTGAAAATTGTGGCAAAGTATGGCCTTCTGTTAAGGGACACATTTGCACTAGACATTTAATGTGGGTATATGTAGTCATTTGGTTTTTTTAATAATGTGCCTCTGAAGCCATTCAGCCAAGGGTAGGCGACGGCTGCCAGCTTTACAATAGACGCGATTCTGGCAGCTCAGCTGCCACCAGATCGCTTCTTTGGGCCGGTAAAATTCTGCCACCGTGTTTTCCTGGGCTCCGCTGCACCTCCTGTGGGTCCGGGACAGCATGTTGGGTGCCGACTGGAAGCTGGGGAGTAGAACGGCGAACATCAGCTCACCTTTCTCCTCCCCGTTCTATGGGACTGGGAGCGATGTGGATTGCATCACTTCTGGTCCCTGAGCTGTCATTGCTCGGCTCATGAAGCCCAGCAATAAGCTATTGAGTGCGAACTGGACTTTAATAGCTTATTTAACTGCTTCCCGGCCGGCCGTTGTACACATACGGCCGGCCGGGAGCTTCCTGGATGTAACAGGCCTGTTAGCCCAGCCACACGGGCGCACCGTGCGGCGCGAGCGGGAAACGCCGTCAATTTAATAACGTTGTCACGCTGAGCCCGGGACCAGCATAGTGCTTTTCTGACAGGGGATCAGAGGGAGGTCGGTACACGATATCCCTCCGGTCCCCTCTCCGTTGTGGGAATGCGGAAGTGATGTATATTACATCACTTCTGCATTCTTGTGTTACTCTCCAGCTTCAGATGCTGGAGAGAAGCTGATGAAGCAGATCTGTGCTTCATCAACTCCTTCAGGGGGGTCCTAGGTGACAGGGGTCTTGGAGACCCCTGATGTCTCCATAAAGAGGACCTGTCACTTCTTTTGCTATCTGATAGCATTAAAGTTTAGGGAAAAAAATTAAAGTCCCCCCCCAACAAAAAAATTTGAAGTTACACATGAAAAATAATTTTAAAGAACAACATACACACATACATACACGCGTGTAAACATGCATCAGGGGCGCATGCCTGCGAAAAAGACAATTGCGCCCATTACGCTGCACATGTTGCATATCGCCGCGAACGTCGCAGTGAGAGCAATCATTCTAGGGCCATGAATCACTGATGACACTAAACTGATGAGCTGTAAAAGCTTTTAAAGCGTCGCCTATAGTCAATTTTGGGTATTGTAGTTATTTGCGATTTCGCGGGTGCGCGCAATTTTTAAGCTTGACATGTTTGGTGTCTATTTACCCGAGGTGACACCATCTTTTATATTTTACCAAAATAATTGGATAATAATTGTTTCCTAACATAATGTAAAAAAATCCTTTTTTTTTTCAAAATGTTCAGGAATTTTCCCGAAATATAGTAAAAAATTAAAACCCCAAAAGAAAGCTCCATCTGTCCCCAAAAAATTGTATAAAATTAATTTCAGTACAGCGTTGCATGACAGAATAAATGTCAAAGTACCGCAGTGCTGAATACTGAAAAATGACCTGGCCAGGAAGGGGGGTCTAAGGCTGCGTTCACACCTGACCGTTTTGTAGCGCGTCCTACGCTCGACGAACGCGCTACAAAACGGTCAAAAAAATAGCATTGTAGTCAATGCCCTCTTTCCCACCTAGGTGTATTTGCGCCCGTCCCTAACGCCCTACAAAACGGCCCACGCCTGAAAAGGTCCCGGGACTACTTTGGGCCGTTTTGTAGGGCGTTTTCCATTGGGATACAGCCAAGTAGCCTTTAGAATCGCGCAACGGTCGCGAATCGCGGTAAAAAAAAACCGCGTGACGGTCGCGCGACAGACGCGCATATTACAATACGCCTAGGTGTGAATGGGGCCTAAACACCTGGTCAGCAAGTGGTTAAAGTGTAAATGTGAGACTAGGTGTCTTTTGGACCCCCAGTATCACATTAAGGAGTACCTGTCACTGCCAATATGCTATCACATGGGGGGCTTGTAAGCTCCCCTATGTGATAGCAATTAAAGTTTAAAAAAAAAACGGTATTAAAAAATAATATGGAATAATATAAATGTACAAATAATTTTAAAAATGTTTAAGGGCCCAGCAAGCGCATTCACCTAAACACGTTGGGTGCGCCTACATACAAAAACCTTGTTCGCGCTGCACATGTTTGGTATCGCCGCGCATGACAGAGTGAGAGCAATAATTCTAGGGACAATATTTACGCATATCCCTAAACTGTGGGGGATTTTAATGCGTTGTCTATGGACTTTTTTGGGGGTACTGAATTTGCCACCGTTTTACAGACGCACGCAATTTTTAACCTGGGATCTATTTACTCGTTGTAACCTCATCTTTTATACATAAAAAAATTGTATTTTATTGTGTTTTGGGTACTAAAATTAACAAGTGTATTTTTCACAAAATTTGGGGGTTTTTAATAGTTGCGCTAATATCGTGTAACATAAAAAATTGCAACTGCCACCATTTTATTCTGTTGGCTTTCAGAAAATATATAATGTTTTGGGAGTTTGAAGTAATTTTCAGGCCTACACTGTGTATTCTAACGTGTGCAAAAAATTTAAAAAAAAGGCCTTGCAATGGAAGGGTTAGGGCTTGGTATCACATGTGGGCATTACCCAGCGAAATCTGCATAGGAACTCCCACTCCTCTAGAATTACATTCATTCTTCACGGTTTTTTAATATTTGCATAGCATCTCCCAAGAGCCAGCCATCTGAGGGCTTTAGAAAGGAGTAGACAGGGTGCTGTAAGGTTTCAGAAAGCTATGTACAGCACCCCACTCACCTAGCCATGATATGCCTATATTACATAAAGAAGCACAGAGTCCCAGTAATCTCATCACTGGGTCTAAAAAAAAGGTTTGTAATGAAAATTAAAAGATATTATATTGAAAAATGTAATTGGCATGTTGATGAGGGGAGAAAACAGGAACCTGGGAAGGTAAAAATAAACAAATTAATCCTTAAAGTATTTTCTTCAAGATTAACTGTAAGATTTATATTAAATGTTCACTGTTTATTATTCAAGGGTGTTCTCTATATAAACTGGTGCTAGTTCCTAAGCATTCTCTGTTTTCGTAATTTTTTATTTTATTTTTTTGAGAAGCAGTTGTATAGGGGCACACGTAATTTTTTTTGTGGCTTACCACTTCCCTGCACAGGTTTCATTTGTATTCATAATGAAGTATTCCTCCATATTGCTGTTCACGTCTTGGGAGTGTTTTAGGTGAGATGGTAGAGAATTGCAGGTTAGAGACGACTACAAGTTGTCAGCCTGTGGGCATATGTCTGTACAGCTAGTAAATTGTTTTATGACCAAAGGTCATTGACACCTAGCTGTCCAGTCCAAATTTAGCAGCCTCCTCTAATGCAACAATAGATCTGACACTGAAGCTGCATATTATGAGTATCTACAACTTTTTCAATAATCGATTATAATCGATTATGTCGATTAGTTGTTGCAGCCCTAAATACATGTAAAGACAAGATGGTAAGGAATGTAAGTAGCCCTGCCCCTGAGGGCTTCCAATCTAAAAAAAAAAATGGTAACCCTCCTTACTTTTAGTGTAAGAAGTATAATCATGTCATTTGTGTTAAAATATCAAGAGGAATGAAATCCCTGCACAGTGTATGACATGGCCTTAAAGCAAACCCCTTACTCACCCTAGCTTGAAAAGTGGTCCAAGATTTAAAGGGCAGGCCCCCCAAAAAGCCTGCTTGCAAAATTTGGCTATCTACAAAGGACTCGGGATCCCCAAAACATGCCGAGCTCTTTTATGCAAATGTCCATCACCTCTGTGTTTGTATTCTGGCCTACCTTCTTACTCCTGCACCCCTCAACCCCTTCTCTTGGCCACCAAATACCAGTCTTGCTCGTCAAGAAAAAATTGCCTCAGGATTTCCTGTCAGAAATTTCCATAACCGCTACAAATCATGTTCTCTTATGGGAATGCCGAAGATGGATTTGACAGCCTACGTAGTCGGCTCTAGCAATCCATCATGTGGAGCGCACTTGTCATTTTCAAATGACAGCCATATTCAATGTACTTCAGCAGACTCTTTACCTATATTACTATTCAGTGGGGAGCAAGCAAGGTAATTTGTATGTGAAACAGCAGCTTGTTTAATGTTTTGATATTATATAATGAATAAAGCAGCACTGTGACACTCATTATGAATGAGTTTTAGTTCAGCAAATCCTATATATGTGCCTTTCCACTTACTGTAAAGTGCTTTGCTTTTATATCTACCATTTACTGTTTGTTGTCGTACTGAATTACCTCTAAGATCATCCTGTATAACTTTGTTTTTTAGGCTTCGGGAACAAGTTCAGCTTGAAAGTAGCCCAGCAATACTGGACCCCATTGACATTCCAAAATAAACACGATCAGCCAAAATATAAGCAGGGTTAATAACCTTCCTGTTTCTATATACGTATATACTTTGCTCCGTCTCTTCTGGGTTGCTGCAAGCGGCATCAATGCTATACCTTTTTGTGTTAGGTGTGCAGCGTGTGAAAGATCAAGTGATTTCCACCGAGAGGGAATCGAAACTTCCTGCTAGATTTCCTTTTTCCTCAAATGAGGTTTGATGCTTTAATACACAAGAAGCAGATTTTACACTCCTTGCGCTTCTTCCGTGGTATTTTTGTTACATGTAAAGAATCAATGGGAGGACAAAAGATTTTTTTTTTGTTTTGTTTAAACAAAATGATAAATACAAGGGAACAAATGTAGATGTATATTTTTTTCTGTTCTGTTTTTGAACCCCCCTTATTGACCTCTGACACTACAATACTATCCCCAGATTTGCACTAAATGTCAATGTAATGTCAGTAAAAATCATGGTACAGGTTTAAAAATGACATGTTTACACAACTACACAAAAGTGGTTTATGTTGTCATTCCATAAAAAAACAAAAATCATTTCCATTTGCTCCAGCTCTGAAAGTGATTTGGCTGCTGTTTTATCGCTATACTTCCTGCTTTTACAATGACTTTAAATGTTGGCTTTTTTTTCCTTTTAAATTTAGTACTGATATTCACAGCAGAGCTCAGGTTATTGTCTCTCGCTTGTTACCTCCCCAGACAACTGGTTTGCTGGGGAGTGTCTATGCAGAATACACTTATGCTATCACAAGGGACGTAAAACAGCTGACATCCACTGTTCATGATGTTCATTCTGTAAGACTTTAGGCAGCTTCGTAGTTTTTCATGAACTAAGGAGTCCTAACTTTGGACCAACACTCATATTTACAGGGCTCATTTAGCAATACTACTTGAGGGAAGACCTCGTTGTTGGGTTCAAGTTTAATATGAGACTACATTGCCAATTTTAGTTGGCCTGTTTCTATAAAGGTGGACAAATACAAAAAACAAAAAAAAGCTTTAGATGAAGCAGCCTTTACTTATGTCTGTATTTGTGATATCTGAAAAGTCTGTAAGTCTTATTTTTGCAGAATGTTTGTAGTTTCTTCAAACAAATGATGTTCTAATATGTTAATGAAATGTATGTAACCATGTCACTTTCTCTGAAAAGGGAGACAGAATCATGGGTCTTTCTAGCTGGGAGGAGGCTCCCCAATGTTATCAATCCTTCACTGCTTGCAAAAGCATTTATTTAGCTAGATATTGAGTGCAAATTTACTTTTTACATCCTCTTGTTTTTAATGACTTTTGTAGGAAAAAGAAAATATAAAAATAAAGGCCTATCTCTTGGTTCATACTACTTTTATGTGGCTAACAAATGTCACCATGACTGAAATTGAATTCTGCATTTATACTGAATATTTTTCCGCCATGTTGTAATGAAGTAGAGTTTGATGGAGATTTGAATGGAACACACCTAAAATATTTGCAACATGTGAGAGAAAAAGTTCAGCTGTGGACATTTGAGTACATTTACAAAGATATATCATCCGCTTTTATACATAACATCCTTTAACTTAAAGTGTGTATAGACCTGACCACCAATCCCTAATGGGTAGTCTAGATCTAATAGACGGAGCCACATGTACTTCTGCATGTGCAATATTTAAGCTGCTTGGGACGAGATGTTTTAAAAATTAAATGTTTCCTATTAAAGTGGAAGACTTGACCTAAGGAGTATCCTAAGTTTTCCACTTTAATAGAAAAAGTTCATGTATGACCAGAATGACAGTCTACTAACACTCCTTACCAAGGTCTCTTGTAGGGGCAGTGACTTTTTTTCTAATTTGCACTGAAAATTCATTATATACAACAGAGGAACTATTTTGTGAGCTTTAAAATTATACAGCCAAAGTCTGCATATACAATTAATTGCTGGTTTCTCCCCTCGGTTACAAGTTTACACCTGTTATAATTTCATACCAATAAAAATATGTGAGCACAGCTCTCAGGACCCAAGCAGAGCCCGATTAAGACCAAACATGGCCCTAGGCAAGGTATGAGGTTTAGTCCCCACAGCTACCCTAGAACCAAGTTTCTCACATGCCACCATCTCCATGCATGCTATCACTTATTACCATGACTATAAAGCTGTTTTTAATAAGAATCACATGCTATCCATTTTTCAGTGTATAATCCAATACAGTAGCAAGACCTTTTTTTTTTAATTATTAGCTTTTGAGCTTCATTTTGGTAATGAAGGCACGCTCAACACATTTAAAGGACAACTCCAGGTTTTTATGGTCGCCATATCATCAATACAGATGCCAGGGGGTTCAATAATAAAAGTTCCACCTGGTGTATAGGAAGGAAGCTGATGGGTATCTCCCTCCTAGTTGCTTAGCAGCCTGACAGTTGTCTGCAACATTCCACATGGGGCTGACAGCTACCCAAAGAACAGTGGTTTGGAGGTGAGGGTTACTGGTTTCTGAAATGTTCACATGAATATCTCTGCATTGGAGGAAAGGGGGTTTATGTTCCTAAGTACACACCTGCCTTACCTTGATCTGAAGGCCATTATAACCTCAAGTTCATAGATTAATATTAAACATTTAGAAACTTCAGTGAAAAATATTGCTGTATACTGCAGCAGGTGTTAAGACAATATATTATACAATGAGGCTTTTGTGAGAAACATCAAAGGAAGCGGAGAGAAATATGTAGTTCTCAGATCACTAACAAAGCATTTTTTTTACAAAGGAGTCGCATGCATGGCTTGTTTATAACAGCAGCATCAAAACATCATCATATGCATTACTTCAGTGTCCTAGTTTTGCATAGCATGTAGAAGCATGCTAAAGAAACAGTAATTTTCTCTTTTATTTTCTTCTCCATTATGAATTTTACATTGCCTTCATTTGCTGGAGTGCCATTTAAAATAAATGGCTTTGCAACGCGGTAACACACATAACATGCCTTGCACTAACATACACGTCAATGCACCACACCCTATCACAAAGGCGTGTTTCAGCTCTTAGGATGAGAACTGCCTACCAAGTGTCCATGTAAATCCAGCCTTATTTACTTATACTTATTTAGTACAATGCACAAAAGTATATTGGAATACATCTTGTTTTTTGTTAGTAAGAGCTCATCCAGAAAAACATTAACTTAAAAAAAAAAACACATTTCGTAGCATCCCAAAAACCTAAAATCCATGATAGCCTGCTATACTTAACAGTGGCATTTTATGTGTTAAGTAATCTGATCTAATTGCATTCACAGTTTGGATTGGAACTACTCTGCTGTTGCAGTCTTTTGAGCATAACCTCGGTAACAAAGAGCCTAGAGGTACACAGTGTGAGATAGCAACTTAAAATCCAATAAAGTGCTCTGCTGTGCACTTCATCAAGAAGATATTTTCACCGACTAAAGGTAATTCAAATAGTGCAGACTAGTTAATGAAAAGCAATTAGAGTTATAGGCTTTAATGTGTATTGCATTTGCCACACTGCAAATATGTTTTAAAAGAAGTAGCTTATTGAAAACAAACAAACTGAGGAACTTTACCCACAAATTTTTTGCCTCCTAAAACAGTTCATTTTAAGGCAAGCCAACTGTCAAGGTTGCCAGTGTTCTTATTTCAGCTCTCAACCAAACTTTCAAGCCCTCAAATGGCTGATGTCATAGCTGATCATGCGTGTAGCAGCATGGCAACTGCAATCCAAACAGATTGGCTCTAAAGGATAGGAGGTTGTAGTTCCGCTTTTACAATTTATAGTCTATCTTTCACAAAGTTTTGTGTGTGGGAATTAGGACCATATTAAACAAGCTATCCAATCCCTAAAGTTAACTTGCCAGCAATATGATCAATAAAGAGAACACTCACCTCGTACAGAGTTTTTCTCTCGCCTCAATGCCAGGGAGGGAGCAGCACTAGAGCAACACCTTACTTTGGTCATAGAAGGTGCGGTGCCCAAGTAGCAGGTGAGTGAGCTCTTTGCTCTCTTACTGATCCTCTTGCTGGTGAGTTGCCACCATGGACAAGATTGCTAGTGTTACATGGCCCTTAGTGCTGACAGGAGTCAAAAGGGCATGTTTAGCAAGTGCCCACCATAAGCTCACTAAAAGATGGATCCAATAGGCTCAATATTATAGTGTCCTCTGCTCTCCCATAAAAAAATAAATTCCTTAAGTAGTAATGACAATCACCATGACATGATGCCCAATACCATTGTATAATCATGTATTCCAAGATCTAACGTGTGAGACCACATTACATCATCTGCTACCATGCCATACTTCATATTAAATTATACTGCTGGTTCTTTTACATCCTTCACTCCATTTGTATATAATCGGCTAAAGAATGTTTTAGGATGCTGTAGTGGAATTTCCGTTTATCCTTCTTGAAACTTCTTCACCCAACACATTGCTAATGCCCACTACAGCGTCCAACATTCATTAGCCGATTATGGATTTCCTTAGGTGCGCAACCTTCTTTTGCCAGAAATTCAATTACAGCTTGTTGTAGCTGAAGATCCATGGCTCTAATCACTCAATCTGAAAAGAAAAGCATACATTAGTGGGGTAAGGACACCTCTATAACATGGGACATGAACATTCACAGTCACTCTAATAGATTTTAAATTACAGACATGGAGGTGTTATGTTTTGATTGACCCTCGTTTGTGTATAAATAATCAGCTAAGAGTGAATTTGGCAAAAATCGTAGTGAAATGAAAAAATAAAAGTGCACATGGAAGCCTAGGATCCTTCCTGAAGTGAAATGGTAACATACAAAAGGATTTGACCAGTAAATAAATCAGGAGTGGACGTTTCTGAACTTCCATTTATTGATTTGCAATGTTAAGATGCGTTAACAACTCTGTCTGCATTGTTTAAATCTGGTCTCCCATATTGTGCTTCTTATGTGGCAGATGCACTTTAAATTGTACATTGATCTGCAGATAAGCATGAGATCCTGCACAGTAATATAAGCAATGTTAGAATTCTTAAGGAGTGGAGTAGTGATGTATACAACAAGCAGATTCTAACTAATTTTAAAAATATGATTAAGCAGATAAATGAAAGCATCTGGCTGCTATGGCAAATGTCTCCACTGTTTATATATAAAGGTTTTTTTTCACCCTTCATAGTGTAGAGCATACATGTTGTTGCAATTTGTTACTACGACAAGTCTAAATTCTAACCTCTAATTTTGAACTGCCCATTGTCTATGTACAACGATGAAAGTATATGTTTTCCGTGTTACAATCCTGCACAAAATATGCCTAGGTATGCTGAGGAGTTCCACTGTACACGACCAAATATTTATAAACTAAAGTGTATGAACAAACGTGTTCAATGATCCTCATTGTTAACAGTAGGCCCCATATGGTGCCTGCAGAGTTACTACTTCAAAGCCACTACTGCACCCCTGAAAGCACTCCAGGAACTCTACGAAGTTCTGTGCCAACTTCAAATTTTCATAAACTCCAGAATAGGTATGTCCCCTTCGCATCACACAAAATGTGGTCACTTCTTAACGGGTTACAGAGACCACCACATTACAACCATTGGGCTTCTAGGGCACGGCAATGACATTT